TTTAACTGAGTGACCAATGCTTGACAGGAGAGCAGAAAAAATGATGAATGGCTAATGATAAAGACCATCAGTCAAAGATAATTGATATAAAAATAGTGGCATTTCTGTGACTGAGAGGTAATCCATTGTCATCTGTCCATGAAGACACAAGATGGGTGTCAAAAAACTGCATACCAGTGACATAGCTTAATACCATTTCTCTGAGCAGTTTTTTGTGCTACACTTTGTAATTTTTGTTCACTGTTGACATCTGTGTCTAAAGCTCGATTTTTTCTCTCGTCTGGTCAAACTTGCTGTATTATGTAAGGTGATCCTCAGGACTCAATTCGGGCATAAGAAATAGCAGATTTTATGAGGTGTTCGAAAATATATGCAATACTTTCAGGGCAAGATTTTCAGGAACATTTTTCTGTTTTGTTTCTGTTTTACTTTTCTGAAAGAACTTGTTTTTCTGTAGTACTACAGAAATATTACTTATATAATTTCTCACTCACATCTCCGAAATGTTACAATAATGTAATTTCAAGCCAAATGATAAGACATTCCATTTAAACTGCACTGTTGCTGTGAGCTGTATTCAGGTTCCTCTGTAATCCAGATTTATTGCCCTCCTTATTCTCAGCAAGCATGAGCAAACATGAAATTATATAAAAAAGAAATATAAGCAATGTTTCAAAACCTTCTATGAGATGGCAAGGTCAGCCATATGCCGTTGAATAATTTCCTGAGCATCTGTTCATTCTGGCTATCACAGTGTCCAACAGTGCAGATATGGTATAAATAATAAAGACAGTACCATTTACTGGGGTCTAAACCTACAACTGTATGTTTTCCAAAAGTAAGTGGAGTTTTGAACATGGAAATTTTGTGGCTGGGCTGTGATTTTGGACCGACCATAAAAATCAGTACCCTGCTTGACCTTCACTGCAACTATGTGCAAGTACAGCCTGAAAATCAGACATGTAGCTACACAAAGGGAAACACAAAGACTTAGTATACCCCGGCACAGGGAATTAGCTGTCCTCTTCATAGCTGGACTTCGCAGAAGACGGGGGTTTGAAATGTGATGGGCTGCAACACTTGGCAGCTGTTAACTGGTGCACAATAAAAATCTGATAGGAGACCTCACTTCTAAGTGTGGCTTCTCAAATGACTTTCACAGGTTGCTTTAATGTTAACTTCATAAAGGACATCAAGAAACCAAAGACCTGTTAGTTCACAACCCCTTTTCACAGAAGAAAGTGTCACAGATTTTATCCCATGGTGACACTATTTTTTTGTTGAAATTTCTGCTGTTTTGTGGTAAGAGAGACATTATCTCGATAGCTTTTTTGGTGACAGCTCCAATGTATGTTCTCATACAAATACATATTTTTATAACATCTTGAGAAGGGCCTGAATCAGCCAGAAAGACTTGGTCCCTATTCAGGTCGTTCATGGCTTCCTTGGGCTTCCTGGCAGCCGTTCCTACGTCCCTCCAGGAGAGGGAAACTCTCTACATACACCAATAGCACACAGACATTGTGTACGGCTGCCAACACTGCCTTCCTAACCAGAGACTGTGTCTCTGATGCTGTCTCAGCAGATAAGACTCCGAGCAGGGCTATTTAGTGTCTCCCTAAGGCTATAACTTTACCAAGATCAGTTTAGTGGTGTCTGTTCCAGGCTCACTGAGCAAACCAGGTGCTTTGGGATACCTTTGTGGCCGAAAATGATGGTAACGTGTTGCAACAGCTCCTCCAGAGAATGCAGGAGCCAGCACACCTCTGGGTCGTTGGCAAGGCATGCACAGATATATTTGTTGTCCAAATCCAGATCTGAGCATGTTGTTTGTCTAGCCCTGTGCAAGAGCATGACAAGCTGCACAGGCAAAATGAGCTCAGTGCTTCCCTGAGAGAGAAGGAGGATAGGGCCAGTTGTTTCCAGCTGAGGAGAACAGCCTTTAATTATGACTGTTGTAGTGACATTTGCCTTTTCTCACAGTTCCATAAATAAGTGCGGAGAGGAGAAAATTAAGAGTAAGAGAAATTGAAAACTCTTCTGTATTTCAATATAACTAATACTTAAAGTAAGGTAATGAACAGAAAAAAGCTGTATTTTGAAAGAATAAGAAAAAGCCACCTGGGTAATTGAATTGTTAATGAGTACCAGTTGTAATGAATAGATTTCATCAGAAAAGCAGAAGTACAAATATTTGCTGTCTTTTGACTGATACTTCCCAATCTTGTGCACTCCTGTCCCATCCACTTCTGTTGCCTAATAAAAACTACTGATCACTTCTATGATGGGATAATGTGTACAGTGGGATAATGTGTTTAATCTAATTTAATTGTGACTAAGGTAAGTAGCATTTTTTCTCTCTGGTAGCTCTGATTCTCCTTTTCTGATGAGAGAGATATCAGAATTAAACTGGACTCCATTGAACTGCTCTTCCCACATTTACATCTAATGAACACTACTGAATGGAGAATTAGTGTTCTTATTTTCATTTGTTGGCACATGGATAAGAAAAAATGTACATGAAATGTATCCCCTTAAGTGCTTGAACCTTACTAGGAAACAAAAGAAAAAAAAAAAAATGGAGTTTAAAAAGGATTACACAACTTTTATCTTAACTACATGTCAGTGTTTGCTATCTTACTACAAGGGAAGACGTGGATGGCCAGATAGGGTTTTATAGGATGCCTTACGGGGTGTTTTTTTCAGCCTGGAGCAATGCCAATCCGTTATTAGGCCAATCAGATTGGTGATATTGCTGTGTGTTTGTGTAGGTGGGAGCGGGAAGTGTAGAGCCAGATATTGTTGGCAGAGTTAATGGAGTGGAGCTGTATACATTGCTTCTGAAAAGTTGGCTGAGAACTTGTCCCACATATACACAGAACCTATTTATCCCAGATTAGGCTGGGTGGAAAAAAATCCATTCTGTACTCTTGATGACTTCTTTGTCTCTTCTTGAAAGAATGAAAGTATTTTAATCAGGTTGCCCTAATGGAGGAAAAGACAAAAACTCTTAGGCCCGATGGGGAACCAGACAATCTTTGAAGAAAATGTTGGTTAAGACATTTTTTACCTCCTTCCTTACATCAACTCCATCATGATCAACTAACATGTTTTTAAGCAAGATTTCTGTAGTCCACATTAGGAGTAAAGTGTCCACTGTTGCGCCAGATAGAGCTGTACCTGAATCCATTTTCCTTGCTGTAGGCAATGGCTAAGTTACTGGTGGTCTGTACAAGAGCAGTTATGTGACTAAAATTCCCAACATAGAAAAGAGTTACGAAAGAGAAACTATTGCTTGTGCAACAGATCCCACTTGGGTATGAACATATGGGTTTTTTTCATACACCTATCTTACTGACTGTGTACAGGCTGGCAAACATAGATCTCTTTTGTGTGTAGAAGTGTATTGTGAGATATGGTACCATGTAAGCTTACCTTGAACTTCCTGTGTTAGAATAGGCGGAGACTTATTATTCCTTTGACTCTCCTCTGGGGAAAAAAAAAAAAACCAACAACATAAATAAACCTGCTCTTGTGAGTAAAGGAATCAGTCACTGAATATGTTGAGAATTAATGAAACAACCAGGACCCAAGGATGTTGTGTGTGCTCTAGGTAAATATCAATATTATGAATCTTACTGCAGTGATCTATGTATAACAAGCAGCTTCCTGAGATTGATAGAAAGATCAGTTTTTCATTCAATTGGTGCTAGTTTTAAAGACATCAGTCTTAATAAATAAATGACAATAAGCCATGATTGAACATATATTTTAGCATTTGGCTTCAGTGATGTGCTAGCTTTGTTGTAATGGGCATAGGTATAAATCTGCTCTGTAATAGTCCCAGACTCTTCCCTAGAGGAAAAAAACATATGAAAAGTGGAAATGAGATTGAATTTTGTGATTTTTCCTGCCCCATTTTTAGTTTCAAATGAAACTCTTCAAAGTAGAAAGCAAAAAATTTGATCTGTTAGTTGCTTATCAGAACTGAATGTTCTGAGTGTGCACACTGAAAATAAAGACATCTTTATTTTAAGGTGTTAATACTTCTCATGTGAATTTTCCAGCTCTGCTGAAACAAAAAAGTATAATAGAGAAGAGACCCCAAGATAAAAATGTTAAAGGAAAAAAAATGAATAATGTTATTTTTGTTTTTGAAAGGAAGATTTGATATCTCAAGATTTCTCTGCTCTGTATTACCTGGTTAAACAAGGTGTTTTCTACACAATTTACATGTTGGAAATGTGGTTTCAAAATTCTGACAAGCATTAGTACCTTATGCTTATCATTTGTAAAAAATGGAACATGCTAGATGTTTGAATTAGTTTTGAAATAAAAATTTATTTGCACATGGCAATAGTAACTAGAAAGGTGAAATACACACCTAAAATCCCGACAAATATTTAAGATTCAAACTTCTAAAACCATGATTCAAGAGAAAACTTTCTCTTGAAAAAAACCTCCAAACCAAAAAACCCCAAACCAACAAAAAAACAGCCCCCCAAACAACAACTTTGCACGTAACACTATGAAAACATCTTCAAGTTTACCTTTTCAGTAGCTGAAATAGGCAAACAATTAACAATAAGTTATAAAAATAGATAAAAAGTATATGAAGAAGTTTTTTTCTTCCACTGGAAGAATTGATCTTTCAATACGTCAGTTGTTGGATGCAGTAAAGCAGATGCAGAGAAGTGGGGTTTTTTTGCATCTTTCTTTCAGTTTCCAGGAAACGTGCCATCCTTCTAGTGCTGCAGCCCTTCCATTCGTGCAGCTGTGGGGAAGGTGGACATGGAGGTGCCCTGCAATCCTCCCACCACAGACAGATAATCAGTCAGGTCTGGAGCTGCCAGCTACCTGAAGCTCCATACACGAACTGTTTTGTCAGTCAGGCTACCACTGTTTTGTTCCTTTCTGTCGCTCCTTAGAGAAGCTGCCAAAGCAGTGGGAAGAGGGTTGGCGCAGCAAGGAGGTAGGCTTTATGCTGGAGCCTCAGTCCTTCAGACCTGGGTCCAGTCAGGCGGATTTTCTTCCGTAAGACCTGAACAAACAAAAAACTTCCATTTAAATAGCTTTAAATTAAGCAGAAACAAGAATTATTTGCCTGGGTTGTTTCAAGTTCTTTATTGCCCTAAACTACTTCCTTTCAGCCTTCCCAGAAGCTACTTCAGCTGAACAGGCAGTGATGGAGGGTCCTTAAAGACAGCGTTCACTGTTTTGAAAGAGCAGCAAACAGCAGCACTCAGAACGTTTAAGAAATGACTGATGAGATTTTATGGTGCTTAAGGAGAGAAAATATCTGAGTATTCATATGTAAATCTCAGATATTCACCAGAATGTTGCTTTTTAAGTACTGCCATATTTTTCTTTGCAAGTGCATATGGACTAAGTAGCTGGAGGTAATGTTCCCTCTAGAGACTCAGAAATTTGTTTTAATGTGAAACAAAAATGTCAGAGTACTAGAGCTCTCAGGCTTTTTCTTCCTTTGCAAGGAAAGTCCTCAAGGGAACACGGATAGAAAAATTCATTCTAAAGAGATTAACAAAATCCAATTAACCTGGTAAAACTATTAAGTAAATTAGCAAATTTGGTAGTCACAATGTTGTCCTTTTTTGTTTGCTTAATTCTAGCATTAATAGCTTAACATGGTAAATGTTTAACAAAGAAGAGCCCTCCTTTTTTTGTCACACACAAACATGTATAAGTTCATTCATTTGGAAGACTTTTGTCTAAATTGAAGACCCTCTGAAAGAAGTTCACCATAGTTGCTTACGAATCAAATTTGATCAACATCACCTCGTTTGGATATAAAAATCCAGTGTTTTTGTATTTTAGTATATTGTGTATATATACACTATGTACATAGATAAATATAAATATAACTGTGTATTCATATCTCTGCATGTGTACATTTTTTTTTTTTTCCATGTGTATGTGTGTATGCATGCACACACATCATATACTCATCACTTAAGTTTCTGGTAGGTCAGGTAAATTAAAATCACTCACCACTGAAGGTAGGAAAATTGAAATGTTCTTCTCCATTTACTTTCCCACAAAGGGTAAGTTTCACACTTTGGACAAACCTACAAACTCCATATATTATTTATCCAAACCTTTCAAGCTTCACATTGAATTTAATGTGAAAAAAAAACCCCAAAACAACCCACTAACAAACGACCAAATATCTACTTCTTTCTGAAGCTAACACCATATATAGAAACTATATGAGCAATGTCCTGCATGTGCCTCAAATCTGGATCTAAAGGAGTCACTATAGGGCAGAAGAGACTACACTTGTTTTTCAAGTGTCTCTCCACCTCTGTGGTGGATCGAATGTCATTGTTCCTAATGTAGAAAAGATTTGGCAACTGGTAAACCTAAGGTAACTGGTGACAGGCTGGTCTCTAATGGGACTGATGCTGTCTAGCAGAGCCTGTCCTCACATCCCTGAGAAGCTTTCTGCCACCCATACCCAACAACCCCAAACCCCACCTGTCCCCCTCCAATTTGCCCCAAGCCACATCCACCCTCTTTTCTGTGTGGGGAGGTAAGAGCCACTTTTGTAGCAATTATGACTTTCCATCACATTGGTGATCAGGATCATGAGGACCTGGTTCTGGTCAGGGGGGAAGTGTCGCTAGATACCTAAGCACATTTAATATTTTGATACAGCTGAAAGGGATCTCCACAGTTTGCCATTGTTTTAAGCAGGTGAATTGACTCAGTGATACTCAGAGGCATGAATAACAAGCATGGACAACTGGGTGCTGGTTTAAGGACTCCCATCATACAGGGCATCCTGTGTCTCTTACCACAGCCATCTCTCAAACCATGAGGAAAACAGTGAAGGACCCCATGGACACACTGACAGATCAGGCAGCTGTCCTTGGTCCACTCCCCATGCCTCACCGTGCCACAGAATCTGCGATGTTACAAAATAACAGCAATAATTTAAAAAAAGCCTAGGAAGTGGAATTACATGTCTTGAAAGTAAGCTTGTTACTATTTCTGGGAAAAAATTCCACTCCACATTTTGCTCACCTGATACACTTATCATATTCACGATGTCTATCAGTAAAATACTTTGGACATATGCAGACAGTCCCCAGGAAACAGGTTCCTCCATTTTGGCAGCAGTTCCTGTTCAGCTCACAGGCTGCAGTCAGAAGGAATTCGTTATTGCAGGAAATTTGTTGGGCAAATAAGGCACCCGCTTTAGCTGCAGGCAGCCGGGCCATGAGATTAAGCCTGATGCTTTTAAAATTTGCTTTGTTTGCCTGTTGCAAAGACTCTACACAGTTATCCCAACTTGTTAGCAGATTCAAAAGGTCAAAGACTAAATTAAGCAGCATCCTCATAAGTTTTAATTACTCTTTCAGTAACAGATACAATTGCCTTCAGGCTTTTGTTTTTGTTCCTGGGCTTAATCAGAGATTGAAGTTTGTAGAGGCACCCAGTTGAGGACCTGACCTTTCATATGTTCTTTAAAAACATAACAAGAATTACTTTCTTTGATGCAGTGTTCTGGATACCAAGTCTGGAAACGACATGCAAACCCTGGTGTCTGAACAGGCAACTACAACTCTCAGTTAGACTATTTCTGGGCTAGATGGGTCTGGATTCTTAATAAAAGGGAGTGGGTAGGAAGGTAATGAGAAAACTCTCATTACTAGTCTGTATTTTCAGAGATGTTTTGGAAGATGGTTCCAGATAACGGAGAGAGTCAAGTGTCATATATATCTAGTGAGCAGGCACTGCACGTATAGCTGCAGTCAAAGCTGATAACACACATCTTACTGATACTTATAAAAGTATCAGTTCTTTATACTCTCCATGGGAGCTGGGGGAAATGTTAGGAAACATAAAAGGAAATAGCTCTCTCTGAATCAGGGCAACAGCTTTCAGCATGGATCCCTTCATATTCCCATGGCAAATAGAGTGCTCCAACTTTGTTAATAGCGCTGAGAGCAGGGGAAGGGAGGCATCTCTATTACCGCCATTTTCTTTTTTCCTCTAGAAATTTAGAATTAAAAATTTAGAATTTTAGAAATTCTCTTCTTCCCAGGTGAGGGGAAGAAGAGAACTTGTAGGCAGCGATAACCAGTGGTGCTGATGCATGTCCCAAGGCACTGACCGGGGGGTCTGAGATTGGCTTTCTGGGCTCTGTGTATGAAACACAGGGAGTTGTTCTTTACACGCCAGCTTCCTGAGCTTGAAACTGCCCTCACATCTCAAAATCCGGAGCATGAGGTGTTTAATACCACCCACTGTTTAATTGACCATACAACCTAAAGTTGTTGCATCATCTCTGAAGGGGGGAGGATTCGGCACAAGCTTCTGAACTTACCTCTACATCTGCTTCCTTTTTTTAAAAAAAGTCATCAGCCCTTTCTGGCTTTCTGCACCAATTAACAAAAGTAATGAAATGATGATGTGGCACTTCCCACTTCTCCATAGGACCAACATATTTCAAGCAGTTCGATGGATATTTTAGCAGGCATTTCTGATGTCTTCAGGAGCGCAGAAGAGTGTATTTGTGTTCAGGAAAGGGCTTGCTAACTGTGTTGCCGATGGCTGCCTGCATGCTTACCAGGCTTCACAGGCTCAAGGGCGCCTTGCTATTTGCTAAAGAAACCACGCCGTGGTGTAAAGGTCGTTTGCAGGGAGTCTGCCTGGTTTCGTTAACATGTAGGGCTTTTGTTTGTCTGTTTGTTTTTAACTAATATAGCTATCAGTAGGTACCAACGCCTTTTGTACGTTTGATTGTGCATTTAAAAGATGGTAACAGAAAGTATCCTCTGGAAAACAGACTATTATGTGACCTTCATGCCCTTTTTCCCCCTCTAGAAACACCTTCACAGTGGACAAAAAAATCAGTTATATCCTCCTGTGATGAACAACTTACCAGCTGTTAACCCAATGAAAGGTAAGACGTCAGAAGGCTTTCTCCTTTTCCTGTTGGAACTGAGGTTATTAATTTCCTTAAAAGTGTTTAAAGATGTGCTCTGATTTTCCTGGTTTGGGGAATTGTTACAGGTTTCCCCTTCGCACCCTTTAAACATATAAATTAAAAAGGGCAGTGACATTCTTGGGAACAACTAAAACATGGAATTAACATATAATACTACTTAGAAAAATTGACAGCATAAAATTATTTCTCAAGAAAGTAATGAGTATCAAAGCTGTAATTTTAGAAAGTGATAGAGAAGCTGATGTGTGTTTTATATCTTATGTTAGCTATTTCTCTTTTTGCTTCACAGTTCAACCCAGTGTTATTACATGGATTGAGGAGGTGGTGGAATGGTAAAATAAAAAACGCTGAAATGTTTGAAATCTTAATTTTGTTATTTACGTGAAGAGTAACAAGGGATCAGGGCACACACTGTGGGTCCTGAACAGGCAACAGATAGACCCTATAACCAGACCCTGCTCACTCTGAAACTCCATGTGGATGTCCTGCGTCCTTTATCCTGCAGCAGAGCCTGGCTCACTGAAGAAGCCGAAGAGAGCAACATTGCAGAAAATCCTAAACCTACAAGCATGAGGGATATGTCACTCACAAGAGTAACCCCATTCATGCATGAAGATGTCTGAAAGCTGAGACTATAAGACAGTAGTTATTTTAATGCTAGTTATTTACAGGAGGGGGAGGGAACAGTCTTTAGTATTATCTTCGCTTGATCGCCCATTAAAAAAAACCCCAAAATAAAGGTTATGTCTTACCAGTTTCAAACTGGAGCACTTGTAAAGGTAGTGACATACTTAAAAGAAGTCTGCAATGCAAAGATAAAGATACGTGAAAAAAAACCCTTATGAAATTATAGCATGAAGTTAGTGAAATGTAATTATGACTATAATTTTGGAACATATAAGGGGAATGGAAGTAAGCCATTGTCTAGGTACAACACAAGTATTATGGGAGAAGCGACCCCCCCCCCCATTTTAAGTAACTACTAGACAAAGAAGTGTGAAAGGTAGAAAATACAATAATTTACTAAACAAAATTTATAGATTTAATTCTTTTTTCTGTAAGCAGTAGCAAACCTTTATTATTATGCACTTTTATTATGTAAAAAAATGTATTTTCTTACCTAAAAAACTTCATATTTTTTCTCTCTAGTCTGCCTGTATTTCACTCCTTTCTTTGCACATGAAATTCCTCTGCTATAACTTTACACTGCTGGGTACACAAAAAAGAATTATTTTGACAGGGAAGTTTTGGTGAAATATAGAAATGAAAGTAAAGGCAATCCTCTGCTTTTCATCCAAGAAAAAATTGGTGTACTTCACTCTCTGAGCTTTAACAATGTACTGCCTGCAGCAAGTCATTTACGGACGATCAACACCTTTCTACTCTCGCCTCCCATTTCCCTACTTGACCTCTCTTCATTAACCCAGCAATTTGCAATGGCATTGGGTGGTGGATTTATCAGACGACCTGCTCTGAAGTGGTCTCTGGGGGCAACAGAGCTAAAGGTAAATTGAATTTCCTACGTGAAGGCCTCTTTTTCTTTTTTCTCTTTTTCGTTTTCTCTTGTCTTAAAATGTAATATCACTGTCATGACTCAGGTCTGGTTGATGACATAAGTATAGAGCTATATGGTCAACATACTATAATCCCTAGAATAAATCAGGAATTGATCTGAAAGGTAATATTTTAAACTTGATTCTATTTTAATAATTTCTATTTTCTATATGGCTCTTTGGTTTAGAGTATATTTTTTACCTTAGATGAAGTATTTTCAATGATTTTCCAATTTTCAATTTTCAAACATGAAGTTTATTTTAGCTTGACAATATTAGGGTCTCAATAATCCTGTCCTGGGAGGTGAGAAAAGGAATTTTGAACCTAGTCTATTATAACCTAATCTAAACCAAAAAGATATTATGTGCCAGAATTTGCCTTGCTTTAACTAAACAAATGTCACTAAACTGGTGCAAGTCTCTTTGGAAACAGTCGCAATAAAACCTATTACCTTCCTGGACATCTGCATGTCTCAAAGAGCATGTCTTTCATATCTCATTTGCGGTAATGTCAAATCTCTGCCTTTTTGAAATAACTGGTTGACCTCACCACAAAACTTTCTTCAAACAGCCGAGTTAGGACTGAGCCTTTTGGCTTCGTTTCTGTTTCTTGATATTGCTTTTATTTTCTGGCTTCACTTTTCCAAAGATTGCTCTGCACTCACAAATAGACCAGTCACTGAATTTCTACTAAATGAAGACCGGGATTGTCATGCGACTGTGTGGTACCAGAGGTTTAGATTAACATTAGATTGACATACCTGGAAGAGGGCATATGGGCTTTACGTACAGGAAATATTTTTCAGGTTTATTTGCTGGACTCCTGAAATTTGATCAGAGGCGGAGCCAGTAACAGTCCTGTCACTTGTCTGGTTTTGCCCTTAGAGTTCAATCGGGAAAGACCGCCTATTTAAAAGGCACAATGAGCAAGGAGTAGCTTTGCTCTATTGGACTAATCTCCCAGAGCAATTCATTGCTCTTCTAATGATTTACTCCCCAAAACTGATGCTATCTCTTCCCACCATACCTTGCGCATACACACATACAAACGACTTTGAAACAATTACCATCCTCAGCATCCTGGGACAATTTAGGGAGAATAAGACTTGCAAATTGAAGTGGTGGTCATTTCTGCCAACTTTGATTTAGTTTAATGATTGTAAATAGTAATTAGCAGTTGATATTTGAACTATTTGTCATTGAAAGCTCCCCAGTGATTACAGGACATCTAGGTCATTTAGATGAACAGTTCCACTCATTCCAAGGCAAATGAGCAGGATTTGTGGCTGAAATCTAGGGCCTTAAGCATGGTTAAATTTTTGCATGCCTTGAATAATCCCACTGGAAATGATTCAGTGCATTCTATCACATTTGAGCTGTGTGAATTACCTTTTCACCGTTTTGCCTCTCAAGATGGAAATTCTGGCAGCACACAGGATAGACAATTTTAAATAATTTTAAAACCTAACATTTCCTTTTTGATTCTTGACAACATCTATCTATTTTTAAAGTTGTATTTAATAAAAATTAGGGTAAATATGCAGTTGCTGTAGTGAGCCCTGAGGAATCTAGGATCACTACAGGAACACTAAGTGTGAAATGAGCTTGCTTAGTTACCAGCCATTACTAGGAAGTTCAAAGTCCTTGCTACACTATTTGAACCAAAGCCTATTTATTTTCTCTACTATCCTGTCATTTCTTTAAAGTTTGATTTTTGCTAAGGTTTATTAGTAGGGAATTTATTTTGACCGAAAATTTTCTTAGAAATCTTCATGCAAAATCAGCTTATTGAAGGTTGTTTTGAAATACTAACCGCTATTTTAAACTTGTTTTTCAAATAAACAGAAAGTATCTGTAAACCTCAGAGATAAACTTGCTTTTTGATTCTTTCTTGTTAAAATAAAAATAACGATTTCCTACTTTTTCTTTTGACTTCTTTTTTATTTTTCTCCAAGGCAAAATTGAAAAGCAGTACTTTTGGGTAGGTGCAATAAAACTTAGCAGCTTTTTAAAAGCTAATGGTTCTCGGGGTGGGAGTGTGTGTGCGTGCCGGGGTGGAGGGCGTCGAAATAGCAAGGCAGTTAACACAAAGACTGTTGGAGTTTGTCATTGTTGGGTCTTATCATCATGTTGCCCTTTGCCTGACTCTGTGAAACCGGTATGGTTTCTCAGAAGCACAGATTAAATCTCAAGAACATTAGAACATAATAGTAAACTCATAAATGTTTTTTTTCAGTTCTATCAATATAAGTTACAGATTTCCTTAACTCGCTTACCTCTTACATGAGTTTTGCAATTTCTCTCCTGTTGGTGTGTATTTATGCCAAGGGTATGAACAAATCCAGTATTCCATAGCTGCCTTCTAACCACAACTTAACATGAGTAAGGTGAGTAAAACTGGTAAATTACACCTCTTCCAAAGACATCATCCAGAAAGTGCTAATGTTCCCTTACCTGCGTGTTGTTTCATATCTCTGTGATTCAGTTCCCCGTTTGTAAAACACAGATGAAAGTATTCGCTTGCATCAGAAGAGGTTTACGAGCCTATATTCATTCATAAATGTGATGAGTTACATAAAGATGTTCATAAACATATTGCTGAGAAAGTAGCATTATAAATGGCTTCAGGATAATAGGCTTGCCTATCTAATGGTTAAAACCATTTTCAAAACAGTTACTAAGATTATGGTTTTCGTCTTTTTGATACACGTATTATACCAGGAAAATGCAGCTGTCTGAATCTTGTAAAGATAATGTATAACTCTGTTCTCTATAAGCTCATGGAAATTGTACCCTGGGTCACTGTTGTCAAATACCGGTTTCATATTCTGCATTTGGCTAGAGATAATTTACAGACTCACCTGCACATTTTGTGCAGTCCAGTGGCACCATTATGTAGACACTTCTGCATGTGTTTTTGAAGGAAAAAAAGGCTGCTAGGATGCTTGAAGCATTCAGGGTTAAAGAGCAGGAGAAGAGGGAATTTTAAGAGGCTGGAATTGTCTAAATGTAGGTTCTTTGTGCAGGGTAAGTCCATGGTCAAGGTAAGCAAAAGAAAACAAACAAAAAAATCAGATGTTAAGGTTAAAATTGACAGGCAAAATTTTATATGGAAATTATGCTAATACTTTAAATATATCCTTATGATTCTTCCTGTTGTCAAAACTTTTAGGGGAACCGGAAATATCTCCCATCAGTGGGGTTAACATGGGAGAGATTCTCTGTGTGCATACTTAAGACTCTCACTTTTTTTTCAGGTTTGGCTCATACTAAAATGTCTGTCGATGCTGCTTAGGCATTGTGATTCTCTGAACCAAGAGGATTTTCTTTGTGATGAGAACAAACAAGTCATCCAATGAAAAAAACTGGTATATTCAATCTGTACAAGGCCTCACTTTATAAAACTGATAATGGGTGCTAATATGTTTTCTCCTTGGAGTATGTCTGTTTTAAATGCAGGTAAACCCTATGTGTACGACACCATCATCGTAGATATGTCTTGATCTCTTATTGGCATTGTCCAGTCAAACAAATATAAATTGAAACTTACTAATTGGTCTTTAGAAAAATCCATTTCTCAGTCAAGTTCAAAACGAGAATATAATGCCTTGTTTTTCAAGAGCTGCCTATTTCAAGGAGAGGTCATGCATGGTACTGACACAAATAAAGTGAGAGTTAATTTCTTGTTAATGAGTTAAAGATGTCAAAAGGACAATAGCTTTAGGGCTCAATTACGTCTCTGCAGAAGCAGATGAGAGTGGAGAAGGGCACATCAGTTTAGTTTTTTTCTGACCCAGTCATGTTTTATCACAAAAATGTCAATGAGTTCTTCTTTTTAAAGTCCTTTGTGTTCACACGTGCTGTTTCTGAAATAAATCGTTTGGTATTTGAAAGTGTAGATATAAGAACTTTTTTGAGTTGTTTTAACACAGATTATTTCTGTGATCTGTGTTACAATATGACCCCATAAATGTTTGTATTGGTAATCTGAATGTGCATAGAGCTGTGGCACAAGGCTAAGAGCCAAGATATGGTGTTAACTTCATCCTGAAGTGGCACCAATAATCTTCAGGACAAGAATATTTCCCAAAGGAGTTTATCTGTTGAAAGATGCTGCTGAAGGATTCACAAAAGGTCCAGACACTGCCCCACACTCTGCAGCTCCTCACCTGGAGTGATCCCTCCAAGTACTTCTGTGGATAGCTTTTGTCACCCTAAGCAGTGTCTTGTCTCACAAATTAACAGGCAGCTCAAGAGAAGGCAGAAAAGTATCCACATACTTATTATAAGCCACCGCCGCCTTCACCTGTATGTGTGAGGCTGACTGGGGGAAATGTGTAAATGCATCTCTCCAGGGCTGTAGGACATGACATGCTGGCTGTGCACAAAAATCTTCTACGTAGTCTGAATGAAAACACTGTGGAGGAGAGCTCGCTAACAGCCAGTGTGAAAATGTTACAGAGGGAACTTTTTCTCCAAGTGCTTTGTGCAATGTTACAGTACAACTATAATTGAGGTTTTCAGCCCTTTCCTTCAGGGATTAATTATACACTGCTGTAAGAAACAGAGGTAAGAACATTTGTCTAAATACTGACTGTTTAAACCTCAATAATGAACATGGTATCTCCACCATTGGCTTGAAGGTTTATACCTATTTCCCTGGTACATCAACCTCACCTTGTTTATACTTACAGCCTTCGCTTCCTCTTTCTTGTCTTGCCTGCTGTAGTACCTCCAGCCCATTGCACTGCATCGCTGCCCACATGTGTTCAGAAAATGGGTATTAGCAGGTCAGACAATAAAATACATCTCTTGGTATTATGTTTAAAGAATAAGCAGGTGTAGAGAAAGATCTTAAAATAAATTTTAAAAATAAATTTAAAATTACCTTGGCCCCAAATGTCCCTAATGCACAGAACCTTTACAGCAGCTGAGCTCCCATGAAAAACATTTCTCTTGTCAATATCCTTACAGAGATTTTCAACTTGGAACAATAATGAAGGAACTCTACTTACTAATGCTGAAATTACAGATAGTGGTCTATATTTCCACAACTGTGCAAGGAAAAACATTTTCTTTGGGACTGGTCATGCAGCCACTATTTCTTTTGCTCCTCTTACTCGTACTGAGGGCACATGATCCTGTTCCATGCCAGTCTTATGTCTTCAGGATTTTTCAGTGGTTGGATAAGGTGCCTGTGGATTTGGCTCTTTCTACCTTAAAATTTTCCAACATTGTCCCCAAAGACTTTGTATCTCCAGATACTCCCACACTATTGTCATGCAAAGACACCACCTCTGCCAAGGGAAGAAAACTTCCCTCCAATTGGCTGCAAACCAGCCCTCACATTAACAGAGAAACCAGGAGCTCAATCCCTCCCTCCTATCCCCACTGCACAATAATTACTACGTCTTAAGGCCATCAGGACATGACAAGCTCTCTCTATAGTGCGGCTGCAGCCAGTTTGTACAACAGGCAGAGAGTTGTCCTTGTCCCTGTTTCAGCTAAGGAGATATTTCATGACTAGTGTTCTGCTGCTGCATCTCCAGCTGAGCCTGATTTAAGTTTCCATTTGGCCTTTGTGACCTAGAAGTTGTTCTATTTCTGCAGGTCTTTGGGCTCTGCATCACTACCCTTTCCTGTAAATCAGTTCTAGATGACAACATCCTGAAGCGGCACTTCCCAAGTCAGATTCATCCAGTTATATAGTTTGCCAAAGTAAACATCAAATTTAAATCCCCTGCTCCTCCTCTTCTTCCACTAGTTGAGTCAGAGTAGCATCTGCATCCTTATGAAACAGCAGAGTCAAATCCAGCCACCTGCATCACTGCAAATACACGTGCCATCTGTTTCTTATTAAAGGCTGTCAAATTCACATCATTCAGAACTAGGTCTTTGCTGCCAGAAAAGCTGTTCAGAAGTGGCACTGGAAAAATGATGAATGCCAAGAAGATAATCAGAGGAATGTTTTAGTTTTACTTCTCATTTAATTTTTATAGTTTCTCATAGATATGCTACAATTATGAAGAGAAAATGGCAGGAGGCGGCTTTCCCATCCTGGGACATCTGCCCGTAGTACAAATCAGTTAATATGAACAAAGGCAGAACTGCAAAGAGGCACAGGATTTTCCAGGAAAACTATATGTGGTAAGATAAGGTGTGGTGGATGCTGCTGTGCTTAACCATTCTGTTATTTCCTGCAAGTGAGGAAAGTAAATTAATGTAATATTGCCATGAAGACATGGCCTTAGTGACACTGTCTTGGTGGTATCAAACAGATTTGTAAATCATCTTGTTGTCCCCACACAGTAGAAACGTTCAGAAGCATAAAGGAGATTGGACCCTCATAACCAACAAAAGACTGAGGCAGGGTGAGCTTGACCTTGATAAAGAGTTCAGCTAAGTCACCGGTGCCTGATTTTCCTCCCAAATTTGGAAGGTCGTAGTTCAAAGACCTGCTGGAAAATGGGAGTGTGTGGGTGACCCCTGATAAAGATCAGAAGAGAGGGACTATGATTTGGCGAGGACAGCAGAGTAGTTGCCTGCTAAAACTGAACTGGGGAAATGCCTTGGAGTCCGGGAGGGAGACAACTGTGCAGAGACTCGCAGAAAGAGCAATATGCATTGCCTTCCACAGAAACGGTGTAACAGGCTCAACGACTGAAATGCATGAATGAGCTACAATTACTCTTCTCTGTCTTGCTCCTGCACTAACCAGGATCACGTTCAGTTTAGCCAGTTCCTCTTCAACGTACATCAGAAAGTAGATGGAGGTGTAGCAGGTGCTCTCTCAGAGACTGACAGCCAGGGGTGGTGTAATTTGGGTTGTAACGCTAGGAAGCTTCTAGTCATTCATTTGTGGTGTTCTTTACTAATTGCCTCCTAGAGTGAGTTCTGAGTCATGTTCAACATGGCAATTAATGGGGATTAGAGTCTTCTAAGGAGGCAGATTATGTCAGAACATTATACTGTGTCACCATCCTTATTACTAAACTATCATGGGGAGTAGTACATTCATTATTTGATTAAAAATTGCTGTTAGCCTATTAATGAAAATCAGCTGTTATAGGTGAGCTGACAGCTTTTATGAAGAGGGGATAAAATGAAAGTGAGGAAAATGGCCTCTGAAACCTGAAACACTACAGTTGTAAATTGTTAATACTAATACTTTGTGATCTCAGTTTGGACCTCTCGAACAGCTTGAGTCTCTGGGCTTTTGTCATCTCACCATCAGCAGGGTTGTGCTTGGAAGGGAAGATGGGTAGGGTGGTTTCTTGTCTGTAAGGGATGTAAGGCTGCCATGCCCCATTTCAAAATGAAGCTGTGAGACTTGTGGGAGATCCTGGAGGTCCTCCTCCATCGGCTTCCTAGGGTATATATTATACTGATGCAAAGATTTTGTATGAAGCTTATAGGTTCAGGAAACCTGGTTTCCTTTCACATATTGCTTATACATACATATGCTCAGCTTCACACCAGTTAATTTGTTTTTTTCACAAATGACTTCAAATACCATAAAACAGTTGAGGTTTTCACAGAGATGCAGTCAGGAATTTGCTGGGGCTGAGGAGAATCTGTATCTCTTCCTTGCTGGGGACGTGCCCTAACTGCTAGGCAGAGTCCCTCAACTAATGAAATGGAAAGGGTTTTCTTTGTCCATTTGTTCTGTATCCTTTCTGTATTCTGTCTCTGCTATGTTCTCCAGGAGACATGCTCTTCTTGGCACATGTGAGAAATGTGCTGTGCATTCTGTGCTGGTTCTATCAGAGGTCTTGTTTGCTGCCTTGCCTATTTTCATGCCTGAGTGAGGCATGAGTGAAGTGCCTAATGGTTCAAGTTGGGGCAGCTCTGGGCAGTCCAGTAGCAAAGCTGTGGGCCTGTGAGGGAACATT